CGTAACCATCTACAACATGTTCAAAGATTATGATACAGGCGCCAGGGCAAGTGGGAATAATATTATATTGCCGCGTTTCCTGGTCCACCTCCTCCTCTTCCTCCTCCTCCTCCTCCTCCCTCTCTCCTCCCCTCCGCTCCAAAACCACCCAAACATGTTTTGTTTTGTTTCCACAACGCCCTGGAAAAAAAAGGTTCTGTACCTGTCGATGTGGCGCAGGGCTTCGCAGATGCCTGGAAACAACACCTACACGCAATGCGAGCGCTAAGTGTTGGTTTCAGGGCCAAGCACCATGGAATGGCTCATGTTGTCTCCAAGCTCGTTCAGTATGGGTCGCCTCACGTTTGGGGAAATTGGACAGACGAGAAAGACAATCAACACTTGGCACGGTTAGCCTTTCGGGCTCATAGATCAGTGTGGGCGCAGCGGATACTGGTTGACCACAAGTATGGCTTCGGCACCAAGAAGGCAAAGAAGGTGTAAATGGGTCGGCGCGCCGACCCATAGTTTCGTGTCGGCTCGCCGACGCATGTGGCCGATCAGGAAAAAGTGTCCTCCTCTCCTCCTTTTCTTCCTTGTCCTCCCCAAACCAAATTTCCTCTTACTCCTCCCCCCTCTACCCTTTCAAATTTTGGAACAAGTTTCCTCATGAAATTTGGGAGCTTGTTTCGGAAGTAGGAGCTACATGTGTGATCGAACTTTCAAACAAGCCCCCAAACATCACATGAGAGTTTGTTTTATGATTGAAACACTGAGAGATTAGATCTAAGCTCCCCCGACCCTCAGGGTCGATATCTGCCTTTGGCATATCTTTACAGCAGCGACGCCGGTGCACTTCAGGAAATAACGTGCAGCCCAACAGCATGAGTCCGATCACACGCGGAATCTTGGGCGCCACAGGCACGATTGGGTGAAGCGCTTGTATCGCATTGTTCGAAGTTGTTGGGGGTATGATTCTGCCCCGTCCCATTGCGTCACAAATAAACCAGTCTGGCGCCGCCTCGTTGCAGAGATCCTTGGCGTAGATGAGTGCCGCCCGGTGAGCCCCGTGACGCCCCGCGACGCCGTGGCCAGTGTTGTTGCAGCTTCTTGACGCCGTGACGCCCCGTGGCTCGTGCATTCTCTGTTTCGCAGTCGTGGTCCGGTTTGCAAATTCTGCTTCACAGTCGGGCGGCCGCTATTTCTTGCGACTCTATACACGGCAACGTGTTGTTCCGCCCACGCGCCAAAGGCGCATGGATTTTCGATTGGATTATATCTTCCCTTGTCCGACCTCCCACTCCTTCTTACACCCTCTTCCGATCTTGCTGTTCGCTCAGATTATTATCCTGCCCCTCTTGCTCCTTTCCCCGTCGCGTCCTGTGAGAGGGGACGCGTCGCTTGTTGCTTCGCCTATCGGCGCAGGCCCCAGCACCCACCCCCGTTAGACCAGATCTCGTGTGTTTGGGGCGGCTGCTCCGGGCGACTGGTCAGGACCCTTTCCCCCGGATCTGCTTGCGCGACTGGTGCAAGCGGACCGAGTAAGCGCCAGCCCAGACTTGCGCGACTGGTGCAAGCGGACCGACTAAGCGCCAGCCCAGACCCGGACCCCCCCCCCCATTCCCCCACTTTGCGGCCAAATGTCGAAACCCGGATTATTAAAACAATTATACCTTTGAGTCGGACCTGACCTTCTCGAAGAGGAAAATGCAAAAACAAAAAAAAAAAAAAAAAAAAAAAAGTACGGGTACGATTTGTTGCATATGTTTGATCATTTTGTATCATGTTTTGATAATTTACATTTTTGTCACCCAAAATCCCCCTGTGGGGGGGGGGCGTGCCCGACCTATCCCTACCTGTAGGGGGCATCCCCCTGTAGCTGGACATGCCCCCTGTAGGAGGGAGATTCGCGATACGAGAATATCGCAGACACCGAGCATCGTCGATGCCCAGGAAGGCTGAAAAATGTTGGACGTGGAGGGGAAGACGAACGTCAGAAAAATATTGCAACGACGAGGAACCCTGGGATTCGTATCTGTGTATGTGTGTGTGTGTCTGTGTGTCTGTGTGTCTGTGTGTCTGTGTGTCTGTGTGTCTGTGTGTCTGTTTGTGTTTGTTTGTGTCTGTTTGTGTCTGTTTGTGTTTGTTTGTGTCTGTTTGTGTGTGTGTGTGTCGTTGGGCCCTTTCAGAAACGGAGGAGGAGGGAGGTTGAGGCGGAGGATCGAGGGGACGCGAACATGGATTACGGCATGTGAATTAGCGACGCAGGCCTCATGTGTCGGGGGACCACTTCCGATCTATGGAAGTGGCGCCGACACCCCAGATCCACGGATCACTGATCCATGTTAGCGTGCGCCCAGGAGGACGAGGAGAAGGAGGAGGAGGAGGAGGCAGGAGGCAGGAAATGTGCGGGCTGCACACTGGCGGGCCCACCAAGCGCAGTCCCTTCGGGACGGGTCGCCGGGCCCCCAGTGGGGTTCAGCCTAGCCAGTCTTCCGAGCCGCGTCTGGCCGTGGCGACGAAGGAACTCCCAGAATTCCCCTCGGGGACCTCCCCGGGGACGACGTCGTCGGCAGCCCGCGGGCTCGCGCAGCCGTTTCTGTTCGGTATCGAGCGCGCGGCCCCCGTGCGCTGAGCTCGCCGCGATGTCGCTCGCGAGCCCGCAGGCCGCCCGGCGCCCGGCGATCGCGCCCGCGCGCTCTGCCAGGGGGGGGAAGGAAGACACAGACCCCCCCCCCACGCACACACACACACACACACACACACGCACACACACACACACACACGCACACACACACACACACGCACACACACACACTCTCATATACACACACCCACACACACACTCTCACACACACGCGCGCACACACACACACACTCTCACACACACATATGAACGTCGAATCCAATGAAAACACGGGAAAATATGGGCAGTTTGAGGGGAAGACGAACCTCAAGGAAATATGGGATACTATGGGGAATGACGGGACGGGGGCGACAGGAGTGCCGAACGGTTTGAGTTGCGGTGGTTAGAGGCAAGTGTGGAATGAGGGAGGAACGAGAGGAGGAGAAGAGGAGAGGAGAGGAGAGGAGAGGAGAGGAGAGGAGAGGAGAGGAGAGGAGAGGAGAGGAGAGGAGGAGACGCGGGGATTGTCTCGTCACAGCGAGGGCCATGCACCACAGGGTGGTTGGGAAAAACTAAACCAGATGGACCCAAGCTGGCCGCCCTCAAAGACCCTCCTTCCATTACTCTGGAGGACCAAAATGGGCACAGAAAGAATGGGCACGAATATTAACAGTTGTTTTGTCCGTTTTGAGCAGGACTCGCTATCGGCGTAACCGCGGACGTTGCCTTGTTGAGGCAGAGAGGCGGTTGCTCAGCAGCAGCCGCTATCGGTGTTGGACAACGTATGCTGTTGGGCATCGTACCCGTTCTTTCCATACCCCATCGCGGGCGTGCCAAACAGTGCCCTCCGAACAGAAAGAACGCCCGCGGGTTTGCGGGCCTTTCTGTTTGTGGACCGCGCTGATATGGGATTATTCGTTGCTTGTTTGCAGTTCTGGGCCTCCGAGGAGCTCTCTAGTCGACTAGGTTGGTCGCGGCTCAGAACTATTCCCAACCATCTTGTGGTGTTGGGTCTTCGTTTTGAAGAGACAATGCCCCGCGTTCCTTCTTTCCTCCTCCCCCTCCCCCTCTTCCCCCTCCTCCTCCCTCCTCCCCTCCCTGCCTCTGAACTCCGCATGCCCATCCCATTTCGGCACACCCCTCACACGTTTCGTGGCCCCATGGGGAGCTCCACCTAAGGCCCCAATGGGAAAGCTCGCATGGCACCGCCGCCCCATTTCGGCACACACACACACACACCTCACACGTTTCGTGGTCCCGTAAGGAACCCCACCGAAGGCCCCAGTGGGAAAGTTCGCGTGGCACCGCCGCCCAATTCCGGCACACCCCTCACACGCGTCATGGCTCCACAGGGAGCTCCACCTAGGGCCCCAGTGGCAAAGTTCGCATGCCATTGCCGCCATCTTTCGGCACACACCTTACACGTTTTGTGGCCCCATGAGGAGCTCCGCCGAAGGCCCCAGTGGGAAAGTTCGTATGGTGCCGCCGCCCCATTTCTGCACACCCCTCACACGTTTCGTGGCCCCGTAAGGGAGCCCCACCTAAAGCCCCAGTGGGAAAGTTCGCATGGCACCGCCGCCCTCACACGCTTCGTGGCCTCATGGGGAGCTTCACCGAAGGCCCAAGTTGGACAGTTCGCATGGCACCGCCGCCCGATTTCGGCACCCACACCTCACACGCTTCGTGGCCCCATAGGGAGCTCCGCCGAAGGCCCCAGTGGGAAAGTTCGTTTGGCGCCGCCGCCCCATTCTGGCACACCCCTCACACGCTTCGTGGCCCCAAAGAGAGCTCCGCCGAAGGCCCCAGTGGGAAAGTTTGCATGGCGCCGCCGCCCCATTCTGGCACACCCCTCACACGCTTCGTGGTCCCGTGGCACTGCCGTCCCATTTCGGCACATCCCTCACACGTTTCGTGGCCCCAGAAGGAGCTCCACCGAATGCCCCAGTGGGAAAGTTCGCATGGCACCGCCGCCCAAATTCGGCACACCCATCACACGTTTCGTGGCCCCATAGGGAGCTCCACGGAAGGTCCCAATGGCGACGTTCGCAGGCGTCCTCCCGATTCATGTCGGCACACCCTTCACACGTTTCGTGGCAGAAGGCTATACCGCGTGCGTTACTTGGAGTTTGCGCGCCCCCCTCCTTCGTCTCATCTCCTTCTGGGCACTCGCAGCTGCATATGGTTGGGTCCTTCGTCAGGCTAATTGTTTTGTCGATGCCCTTTGGAGGCCCACCAGGCAAAGGCAGGCTGCAGCCTGCGCAGGAGCGACGACTCCTAGCATCACATCCGGGAGGCCCGCTCCAGGCAGCAGGCCCGCATCTCCCTGGAGCTCCAGCAGGGCACCTGCAAGCCCTTGCCAGGAGGGATCACAGCCCACTGTTCGGCCCCGCCGCCCATGCAACGGGATCGGAAAGGGTGGGTTGGCCATCTCCCTCTGTCCTTTGCCCGCATTGGCTCCGGCAACCCTTCTGGCCAGGCATCCCAGAGGTGCGCCAGGCCCCCTCCCCTAAGAGCCTCGCGCGCTCCGCGACCAGGGATGGGCCGCAGGTCTTTGCTGCCAGGGAGGGCATGCGAAGGGCCCGGCCGCGGCCCTTGCGCCAGGCGCCGCCGGGCCAGCGCCGCATTCCTCCTCGCCGTGGTGGGCCTAGCATGCGCTGACGTGGCGGTCCTGGGAGCAGCACCGGGCTCGGCAGCTTTCAGTGGTGCGGGGGTCGCCGTGAAGTTGTTCCTCTTCCTCGTGCTCGCGGTCGTTGGCTTGCTTGCGTTCATCTTCGTCGCTCAGTTTGCGGTCTGCAAGCTCATTGTTGAAAGCATCAAGGCGTTCGATCAAAAATTGTTGGGCGTGGACGTCGACTTCGGGAGCGTATATTTCAATCTCTTCACAGGGCGTGTCTCGTCTTCAGGCTTCAGGATATCAAACGTGAAGGGTTACAAAGAGCCGTATTTGATGATCGCGGACACGTTCATTTTCGATCTGAACGTGAGCAAGTTGTTCAGGTCCAAGGGCAGCGATATAGAAGTTGAGGAGTTCCAGCTCAAGAATGTGGATGTCATTCTGGAGTACGAGGGGGGCTTCATGGGGATTGGGGGCAAGTCAAATGCAATGGCAATCTTGGAGACAGTGCAGAGCCATTTGCCAAAGAAGCAGGAGACGGACGGTAAGAAACCCGAAAAGCCATCGGCAAAACCGTCTGGCAGCGCGGGCACGGTGGAAGAGAAGACGTCGTCTAGGAAAGTGACCGTCCGGAAACTCTACATTGTTGACGTTGGTGCGAAAGTATCATTGGACGGCAAGTTCGGTGCACGCAATGCATGTGCCGACATCACATATGAGAATTTTAGTGCTGAAACCGCCGAGCAGACTGGGGGAGGGGCCCTGAAAGATATCCTTATCGTCATCTCGAATTCGCTTCTGAAGAGTATCATGGCCAGCGTCAAGGGGAAGGCGGCTGCAGACAAAGCGTATTGAGCCTGAGCCAGGATAAGGTCATTTACCCGGTTCGGCTGCAGGGGATACGCAGGGTCTCTTCGAGATGCAAGGCAACTCGTCGGGCCATGATGCAGTGACGTCAATGGCGCAGCTTTTGTCAAGTCGGAAAGTCCACGACCGTTTCGTGGCCAAGGTGCAGCCATCGCATATTGCCCGTGCCTGGTAACCTGTACCCGTCTTTTGAGACCCCAAACATATTTGGAAACTACTTATCTTATCTTCTTGTCGGACTGGGGCCCCACCAAGAATGGAAAATACTTACTTCTCCGCAGCACCCGCCGCGCAACAACTACGATTACGATTACGATTATTATTTCGACTACAACCAAGACTACGATTACGACTTGAATCATGATTCCAATCACGATTACAACCACGACCTCAATCACGACCACAACCACAACTACTGATTCCTGTTGCAATCCTCATGAGACGATGCTTACACATCCTTTCGTGTGTAGGGTCGCCCACAGCGGATTATTTTCTGGGAGAGAGAACCCCCAGCATTATCGAACCCGCCCAACAATAGAGGGAAAATCATGTCCGCCGTGACGACGACGACGATCACGATTGCGACTGCGATTGCGACTACAATCGCGACTACGAGCACGACGACAATCACGACTCATCTGGATTACAATCACGATTACAACCACGACTACAATCACGACTACTACCACAACCGCTGCTTCCGAGTGCAATCCTCATGAGAAAATGCTCGCAAATCCTCTCGCGTGTAGGGTCGCCCATAATGGATTTTTCCCTGGGAGGAAAAACCCCTCAACATTACCCAGTCCGCCCAACAATAGAGGGATAAGAATCTCACGACGACGACGACGACGACGACGACTACGATATCGACCACCAGGAGGAACAGGAGGAGGAGGAGGTGGAAGGAGGAGGAGGAGCGGGGAGAAAGAGGAGGGGGAGGAGGAGGAGGCGGAGGAGGAGCGGGTTGGAGAAGGAGGGCCGAGTCCAGTCCCCGCCGAGACAAGCAGGGGAAGGGGCCCTCAGAACTGAAGACCTCGTGAGGTTAGGGAAGATATCAGACTGCCTCTTTGGGACCGTTCGGTTGGCCGTGGGTTCGCGCGAGCGCGTCCAGGGGAGCCACGCGCACGCTTGCGCGCACGGTGGGCTCGCGTCGCGTCGACGTGCGAGCCCGCCGCTGGCGGTCAGCGTTGCGCGCCGCCGGCGACCCAGAACCAGTCAAGATCGAGCGATCTGGCTGAACGACCTCCCCCACCTCTCAGGTGGGAAAAAAAAAAAACACAGACACAGTGAATCGTCGATTCCCAGGAAAATGAGCAAAAATATGGGAAGTGGGGGGGAAGACGAAAACCCAAAAACATTGGAAAACGTGGGGAATCCTGTTATTTGTGTGTATTTACTTGTGTGTCCCAGGGCC